CCGGGATGTCTGTTGCGGTAGCCCTGTCTGTGGGGAGGAGTTGCAGCACTCAGCGTGCGCGGCTGGGTTTGGCTTTTTTTTTTGCGGGGGGAGATGTTTGGTTTTGATTGCACTTAATAAAGACAGGGTTTAAATACTTCTAGTCCCGTTCCACACCTTCCTGCAGATGAGGCCGGGAAAGAGGGAAGTCCTGCCTTGCTGGTGGTGGTGGTGGCTGCACTGCGACCTCTGCGAGAAGGGAAGAGGTCCTTGGGGGTGGCTGTGGTGCCTCTGGTTTCCTCCTCCCTCTCCTCCTTACCCTCTTCCCCACAGCCTGTTCTCCTTCAGGATGCTCCAGCTCTCACTGGATCACCAAGCCAGGAAGCCTCTCGAGCAGTGGAACAGGTTGGGTAACGTCATCGGTCTTCACATGGAAGCAACAGTCCTGGCAGAAAAACTTGCAGACCCTTAAACCAGACTTATGGCAAGTATCCTTGCAGGGCTTTTAAGTTCCTTGATCTATAACTATTAGCTGGAGATAAGAATTGGCTTTGAGATTGCTTAGGACAGACCATCCTGGGAAGGAACAAAGATTTAATCATAGAAATTGGCAAACTGAACAAAATCCAGCCATGGATCCTGTTCCCTGGTCTTGCCTCCAGGAGTGAGCAGCTCCAGGTGCTTTAGAAGAAGGAATGGCCAAGCAAACTCAGGACAATCTGTTGTCATCTGTTAAAGATTTTTATGTCTTCTGGTTTGATGTTCCTTCTGCAAGATATTTTCACATTAACCATGCTCACTCTGAGTGGTTTTCTCTAGAGATACCCGTTTTAATCTTGATATGCTCCTGGAGTTGTCCATCGCACATCAGAGGGTTGGTCAGAAACAAACATTTATCTTTATCATCAGTTGTATATCCACTATCACTTTAATTTCTTGTTTCACTTCTTTCTGTCACAACAATATAAAATAAAAAAGCCCCTCGGCATCTGCTCTTGAGTATCGTTCAGCACTTTCATCACCTCCACCTTTGCTGCTCACAAGCTGTCCATAGGAAGCCACAGGAGTCACGGGAGATTCCACAGTGACGATGGGGACTCGCAGTCCTTGCAGCACTTCCCCAGGACTCTCTGTAATTGCTGCAGACAGGACCTTAAGACACCCCAAACACTGTACAAATGTCCACGGGATGCGGCTGAAGGCTTGTAAAAGCTGGAACAGTGTCTCCAAATTGCAAAGAATCAAGCATGGATTTTGCCTTGCATAGAGGCCCTCAAAGAGCTCAATGCAATAGTAATAGCAATAGTAAAAAGAACATTTCTTGGCTTATCACAGCACATCTCAGTTGCCTCTAAGTTTCTTCCATTGGATCTATTTGCCGTATGGAAACAAAAACCTTGGTAGGTTCCCCCAGCAGTGCAGATAAACCCTCTCAGAAGTCTGAATATCAGGTTAGATGTAAAAGCTCTTGGGGGTTGGAGACTTGGGCAACTGGTAGGTAAATATGAATTACAACAGAAAATATAATATCACAAATACTGCTGTAGTGCCATCAAAATCTTTCTCTTGACTTTTTCCTCAATTTTCTAAGGAAGAAAAGATAAAAACCTTCTCCTGAAACTTGTTAGAAGTCATGACTGGCTCAAACATACTAGCACAAAAGGAAAAAAGACCAAAATCTGCCCGTTCAAGGTTCTGGCTGTGCTGTTTCCTCTGCTTAATCACACAAGGGGTTCTTGTTCTACTAAAACACCTGCTGCAATGACATTTAATATATAATAGCAGAGGAAAACATCTTTTTCTATATCATGGCTCATTAGATTGTCATGTCATAACTTGACTCCTGGCCCTTTTTTGATCGGGGAAAAAAAAAAAAGAAAAAAGGTATTGTAAAACTTACAGGGAAGAAATAAAGAAACAAAACAGGTGAGCTATACTGATAAATATTCCTGTTGAGCAGCAGTGCACATGGCTATTCAGTTTTCCATTGGGGGAAAAATCAATCCTGTGGGATTATATGATAAGAATCTAATTAATTTTGTTTACCCTCTTGAAACAGCCTGGAACAGCTCATCTTGCACCAGATCCAAACTCACCCCTTGCTCAGCTCTAAGCCAAAGCCTGGAGTCCTGTTCCCAGGGAGGACTGACCAGTGACACGAAGTCAGTGAACACTCACCCTGCCTACTCTGCAGGCGTCCAAACAGCAGAAAAACAGCCATAATTCTGTATTTTATATTTTTTTTCCACGAATCAAGGTGGCCTTGCACACGATGACCTTGCAAGGCTGCATGCAGCAGCACCATCTGGTGATGGCTGCGTTGAACCTCCTTGCACAGCTCGCAGTGCCAGGAGTCCGCGGGATCTTGGCTTCTCCCTCCTCTTCCTCAGCAGGAGCTCCGAAAAACAGCGGGTGGATTCATTTTGGATCCTCAGGGGTTCATAGAGGCTGAAACACATCCAAGAGCAAACCCCAAACCAGCGCTCAGCCCATGTATAGTTGCTGCACCCGTACCGTTTTTATTGCGTGCAACACTGGTGCTCCCTCCGTCTCAAAAAGTACAGAGTAGAACCAGAAAAGGTACTGAAAAAGATGGCAAAGATCTTTGAGGGTGTTGTGAAGGGACAGAGACTGCCTGGGTTAGGATTTCTCAGCCTGGGAAGAAATGACTGTAGGGGAAAATTCGAGGGCAAGTTGTTCAATCATGAACCGTATGAGCAAGACGCATGAGGAAGGTTTATTCACTCTTGCCCACACAAGACTTAAGCAGCACCCGAAGGAGTTTTGAGGTAGGAGCTTTAAAGCACAGAGAAGCAAACACCTTTTCACACAGTTACAATACTCAGTCCATTGCCAAAAAACAGAAGCCATAAACACCCTCGCGAAGGGTTTAGATATTTCTGGAGGCCAGACTCAGTAGTGGCTATCGACCCTGGCCCTAAAGCCCCTGCCAGCTGGGGGGATACGCTAGAGGAAGGACCACTTTGCATTTCATCTACTGCTTACCCTTTCCTGCTTCAGCATCTTGTTTCTCACTCTGAAGCCTCCGTTAGTGGTCACTCCTGGGAACAGCACGGCTGGGATATGGCGAGTCCAGGAAGGATTTACTATGGCTCTTCTCAAATCCCTCTGGATTTTGTCATATCTAAGTGAGAAAAGACAGGAATGACACCTCTGGAAACTGGCGTGGCCACTATTGCCTGTAGATGAATGAATGACACAAGAAAGGAAGAAATCTATGGCTCTGCTCCTGCATTCCTCCTTCAAGCCACAGTCATCTTAAGGATAACTTTGTGGGGGTTTTTTTTGTAGTCTAGCTAGAAAACCTGTAATTTGGCTCTGCAAACTAAGTCAGAACACTCAGCTAAGCCCTGCTGGAACTTGATGATTTAGGCCTGGCCTCACTTCACATTACAGCTCTATGAAAATCCACGCACCACGTAAAAACTTCCACTTCTTTTTCCTACCAAAGTGTCCATTATTCCCTTCACTAGTAACCTATACATCTCTCATAATTTAGTATTGTCCCCATTTGGCAAGTTAAGGGCAAATGCCTGAATTGCTCCATTTTAAATTTCTACCAAATACTGGTTACATTCAGAGGGCAGTCTGTAAAGCAATGGAAAAACTTTGGCTTTCACAACTACTGCTGCAAAAATCCTACTGACATTTATTGTAAATGGAACTGCAGTTAAATATATTTGAAAATGCAAAAAAGCAAAATAGTTGTAGAGACCAGTGAAGCAGGAAGTAACTCTATTTAGTTCCTCTATTAATTTTGGACTATTTATACAACTTCTCTTTTATAGTTCTTTCTATAAGAGTGCTTGTTAAACCTCTAAATAATGACAGCTGCTAAAAACCGAATATCCCGTGTGTGGAATCATTTGTGGTCTGGAAGCAAACAAAAAATATATAAAAAAAATCAAGTTCCTCTCTAATGATAATAATTATGGGATCAATCCAAAACCCACTGAAGTCAAAGCAAAGCTGCCACTGATTTAAGCTACCCAAGAGTCCCTCCTTGCTTGTTTGCCTGCTCTTGCTCCTGATTTATGCCAGTACAAACTAGAAAGAGAGGTTTAGCAGCTTTTCTTAGTTAGGATGGTTACTTGTTTTCCATGAACAAACTGGAGCTCACCTGATCCTTATTATTTTCTATTTTTTTTGGAAAACACCAGCTCATTTTATAAAGTGCTGGTATTATAAACTGCAGAATATAGTTTATAAGAGCACTAACTCCTACAAGCCAATCATTAATACAACTAATGGCCTGTTTGTTGTATTAAACTGCTCTCATTTGTCTGGGTTCATTAACAAATGCACTGGTCATTAACTGTTAACAGCAACTCAGTTATTAGATTTTATTACTTGTACAGGAAACACTGGAGAACAAACTGATTGTTTTGGTTTATTGGGGTTTATTTCTTTCCCAGCAGTCTTTCCCCATTATTTATAATATAGCTCCTTGCTTGTTCCCAAACGTGACTGATGTACTCAGGACATCCATGTAGACAGTCAGTTCACATGCCAGCCCCTCCTGCCATCGCAGCTAGCCCCAAAAAACCTCTCCCCTA